CAAGAGTAAATGGTCACATTATATACAATAAAGGGCCGTAACTAGGTGCTTGTCCCGCCTAAGCAGGGTCTCGGGAGGAGTGGATTGAAAGCAGTCCTAACCTTTGGTTTATACACAAAGTGGCCGTTCTCAGGACTCGAATATGCGTTGTTGCGCTGGCTACCTAAGCCTTTTACCGTCTCATTATATACAATCCCTTCCATTATTTGGTTATTGTTCTGGATATTAACATTTAACATTATCAGGGATTTGATTGGGACAATGGAGGGGCCCAAAGTTTATACGCAAGTGGTCAAAATGTCCAAAAGATGAAAGAAATTAGACAAATCAAACTCAACAAATGTTTGTTTTTATAAGGAAAGTATACTTGACCACTGCTTAACATTTGATTTAGTATGAAATGGACCAAACATTCATGCTAATCATTTCCATGCCTTCTTTTTTGGTAGACTAAGATGTAGGCCCTCCTTGAAGCTCACACTCATGGACGGTTGATTAGGTTGGAGAGGCAACCCTTCCATTACACATTGCAGCAGGGGTTATTGTATACTATAAAACTATATATCTTTATTATAAGGAGGCCACATTATTTATGGTCGGACCCTGTGAGTTATTAAACATATGAAACATGAGACAGCATGGTTATAAGGCCTTGGTCAAAGAGGCATCTTCATTGATGAAATATTACTGCTTTTGTGTTTCTTTATGGAAAGTCCTCACCCCTTTTTATCGTACGGCTACCAAATTTCACATAAAAAGGTTGATTACTAAGTAGAAAATAAGAGAGACGAACCTATCTATAAAGTCTATTCCCACCTTTATTTCACATAGAAAGGTGCATCCTTTTCCAAATGCGACCATGACTCCTTCGAAACCCTACAAGTCATAATTACCATAAAAAGTTCCTTCAGCTGGACTAAATGACAAATAATTTAAGGAGAAAGTTCATGTGAAGAGTGCATCCATGTTTGAAAAAACGTCTTATTGATTATCTCGACCTCGATATGTACAAATATAAAGAGAAAAAAATTTTAAGTCTTCAAAATATTGCATCTTGTAACAAGTTATGATAACTATTTATTTTAAAAATTTCAAACAAACTGCATTGTTTTTGGATATTTAAATTTTATAATTATGACTGAACATGGATTTTTAGGCTAACATAAAGTTTTTTGACACTAGAACTATATCTTCCGACAAAACCTAGAGATGCACTTACTTATATAGGGTCGGCTTCTCATACTGACCTCAATCATAAATAAAAGGTTCCTCTTATTCGTTCCTTTCTTAGTTTGCAGCCCATTTTTTGACCCTTGGAGTTCCCAAAAGCAAGCATTTGGAGATGGAGGCAGGACTCTGCTGCCCCCAACGACACAGCCTGATGTCGCTACTTACCCAAGTGTATAACTAGTGCAACAAATAATCATACATCTCCTGCCCAAATTTGAACCTGTAATATATTGTTTGGTATCTGAATTTCAAAAAAAGAATGGATTCTCCTGTTTTCCATTTTATGACTAAGACATACTTATCAACCTTGTGATAGAGATTTCTTTATGACTAGTCATGTCCTCCATTAATTTTATATTTGTTTCACACTTTCCAGTAGTAAGGAGATCTGAAGATTCGACACCAAAATTGCCCATTCCTCTCTTTCACTTCCCAAACTAAGGTGGGAAATGGCACTCTTAATTGTTCAAAAGAAATTAAAAATTACACTTGATTGAAGGAAGAACTCTCTCTCTCTCTCTCTCTCGAACGTGGGTGGGTGGTTGATCAGAGGTGAACATCACCATATAATCGAGAGGACAGTGCCCATGAGCCCATGACTACAAGGTGTGGCAAGCAAAGCATCACCATTACATACTCCTAGCAGAAGGAGTAGAATGCAAGTCTATACTCGCTTCTGGTTTTAAATTCTCTTATGAAATTTTTAAAGATTCATCAAACGATGCAAATCTTTTCCTCATCTATAGGGTAATTATAGCCATAAACCTTTAACATGCTAAGACAAATTTAATGTCCACAAAAAAAAAAAAAAGAAATTCTATTGAGCGTTTTCCCATCAATTTGCATAGGACTTAAAATTCCATGAGGATGCACAGAACTAATAAGAGAAAGGAAGCTATATATTTTCTTACTTTACAAATTTATTCATATATTAATTTATTTGTTTTACTATAGATATGGCCCTTGATAGAAAAAAATAAACGAAGATGATTCATATTACCGATTCCAAATAATAAGGATAACGATCAAATGATGAAAATGAGTCATACCATAATTTATTTCGTAATTATATGTAATGCCTAAAGTATGAGAATTATCAAGTCAAGAATCCGTAGTTTTATATTTGATAATGATCATTGAGCATCAATTAAAAAGCCTTGTTTTAAAGTTTATAAAACATTGCTGAAAAGGTAGATTCCAAAAAGCAGACCACAGAGTTTGACAAGGGAAGATTTTTCTTAGACAGCTAACCAAAACCAATAATTGCAGGTCAATGGAATATGAGTTGCACAAGAAACAAGAATACAATAAATCAAAGAAACAAAAATTTCAAAAAAAAAAAAAATTCAAAATAACAAAATCTAGGAAAAAGATCAAAAGAAAATTCACAAGTTAAAGAGAAAAAAAAAAAATGGTAAAAGGCAAACAAAGTTATATGAAGTATGACAGAATTGAAGGATGGTTTTGGCAAGTGCCAAAAAAACTACGCAAATATGAAAGATATATAGAGGAATGTTGGTAATTTCAAGTGAAGAAAGTTAAATTGAGAATCTTAAGTGTGAAAGAAATGAGGTCGAAGGAAGTGGTCCTCGTCAAATTCAAAGGATTTGGCAAATATCAAATAAAAAAGAAAAACCGGCAAAAATATTATACCAAAAAAATATTTGAACAAACCTGATGACCAAATTACAAAGAAAACTGTGATAAGCGTTCAAATGGCACTACGGATGAGGGGTGCAGACAAGCAAAAGAAAGGAGCTGAATTTAGCATATTCAAAGGCATAAAGCTGGTTGCTTTTAACTCATATATGCCAAAAAAAAGAGGAGAAACATACATCTTACTCTCTCCCTCTCTACCATTCACAGAAAGCAGAAAATAAGAAAAAGGACCTGTGGGGCAAGTTAGAGAAAGAGAACAAGTAGAATTGAGTAAAAAAAAAAAAAGAAAAAGAAAGATAAGAGGGGGAAGTTCGGTGGAGACCGGAGAGAGAGATCATTTTCACGACTTTAAAATTTTAGGTAAAATATGAAATGTTCCGCTTATAGGTAGAAATTACAAATAAAGTGGATTACTCAAAAAAAAAAAATTTATTTTTTAAAAAATTGTCTCTCGATCAACTCGAATATTGATTTTTGTTTAGTTTTTTTCATTAACACAGTAGTGAAAAACTAAAAAAAAACAACTTAAGGGCAGTTTTGAAAATAAAAAAAATAAGATGACCAACTTTTTTTGTAATTTTTTTTTTACATTATACAACTTTCTTTATAATTTCTATTTCCTAAAATTTTAAGGTCTTGTGTGAAACGCTCTTTTGACTTTCTCATGTGAACGAGGAGAGAGACCCCGTTCTCTAGTCTATTCACATCAAGGAAAAAAGAGGTGAAAAGAGGAGAGAGAACCCTTTTTTCACTCGACTCTCCAAGTTGCATACAACACAAGGAGAGAGAGAGATAGAACAGACAAAGAGTGACTTTCCGTGATCCCACTTTTTCAAAAGGTCGGCTAGGGAGAGAAAGAAACACCCGCGCAGTACTTAAATGTCGGTCCATGGACGGTCGATTACGACGGAAATAGTCAACCACCTTCTAGAAGGCGCATCGCCGTACACTATCCCGCATACAAAAATCCACTTAATTAAATAAAACTTCGCACCATTAACCGCAACTCATCGGGCCCCACGTGGCGTCACGTGACGCACTTTGACACAACTTACCGGTAGGGGACCGGCTGCGGCCGGTGGACATGTGGAAACTCTCCGCTGCTTTCGGTTGGTTACCGGCGTCCCATACCAAATGCGCGATTATTGAACCGACGTGGCAGTAATGATGATGTCATTCATGTGATTAGTGGTTGACACGTTCATAGTTCGTGGAAAAGGTCGAAGACACATTAACAAAGCTCACAGGAGCCAGGCATTGAGTCAAAAGGGTGGGGATGTGGTCCCCTTCTGCCGTATTCAACGTCGACACGTGTCCGAACACGTCAACCGTCCACCAAATTATTGCGCGTGAAACTGACAGTTATGGGTAAGAGACCACGTGGCACTTCGTTTTGACGGCGTTAGTATGGTCCCGTATGTATCGCCGGGAAGGCTTATATTTTGGGGCTTCTATTTTTAAAAAATTTTCCAGTGTTGTTGCAGGTCCCGCGCTAAAATGGACAATTTAAAAATGCGGATAACAGACTAAATAGAATCAGTTTTTCATTTTATTTTGTTTTGTTTTATTTTCCTTGAGAAAAAGGATCTAGATGGACTGTTGAGATCGTGTATCAGATGCCAAACTTAAGATCGAAACCGTCCAGTCCAACATGTGAATTTGTCCCGAAGAGGATCATAACACTTGTCAGTTGCGCACGTAACAGTCGATCACTGGAGCAATTGATACGTGCCAAGTTCCAAATAATCATGGAAAAAACCCTGTCGGGTAGTGAAATGGACGGTGCACAATGGAGATAACGTGCACATCGCTTCATCTCCACCGTAGAGACGAAAATTAGTAGTACCATATCCGAGACACATATGTAAAAAATACCATATCCGAGACACATATGTAAAAAATATTATCTTCTCGTGACATGGTAATGTGCATACGTTGCATTTTTTGCCGATTAATTTAAAGGAGAAGGGAAAGTTTCCTTGTCATGGAAAACGAAATTTTACCCTTCGAGAAAGCACCATTTCCATGATTAGCATTATTTTGATGCCTCCTCTCTTTGCTCACAAATAATAATAATTCATGTCAAAAAAAAGAAGACAAAACTCCATCAATAATTTAAGCTTTTCAATGCTTGTCTTTACACAAACAAACAGAAGAAAAGAAAAAAGAAAGCATGAATAAATTAAAGCTCATTAGAAAAGTACAGTAGGAGCAATCCTCTCAGTATTCATAGCATATCCAAGAGATCAGGAATGGAGAACTGTTGGATCAGGTTACTACAATAGCTGTCTCTCTCATCTTCAGTGTAACTGTTCACATAATTTGATGATGAATTTAGTGGCGTGGGGCTGGATGTAGGGGTGGAGAGAACAGAGGCAAAGCCAAAGCTCTGATTGCTAGTATTTGTTGATTGATATGTGGAGGTTTCAGACAGTGGGTCTAAAACTGACTGCTCTCCCCCACAAGGATAGCATAGGTTTAGCAGTGGCTCAATATTATCCCCTAAATTCGAGTCGATCACATTTGGAGTCTCTGGGAACATGGGGCATGGAGGGAGAGTTTGGGCGCTGAAGTTTGATGGGTATTGGGTTTCACTAAAGAATTGGGTGTTTGAGGTGGTGCACGATGGGATTTCAGGGATTTGAGCTTGAATTTGTGGGTTTGGAATTACGTTTTGAGTTGGGTTTTGGAAGTTTTGATATGGGTTTTGCATTTGAGTGGTGGTAAGGTGGTTGTTTTGAAGGAGAGAATGGAGAAGGAGATCAGTGTTTTCTGTCTGTGAATTTAAGAGGCCACTGGCAAGCCTTAGAACGTCTGTGTTAACTAGGGTTTGGTCTAAGCCAAGGAACTTTGAGAGATCATACTGTGAAAGGTTGTAGAGTGAAGAGTTGAGGAGCGATGCCATGCTCGAAAGGTCGAGGAGGTCGAGCCTTGGGCTGTGGGTTACAGGATCGATCCCCATTCTTAGCAGCCTCTTTCTTATGTGGGTGTTCCAATAGTTTTTGATCTCGTTATCAGTCCTTCCGGGCAAACGTGCAGCTATTGCCGACCACCTAAATGAATTGAGTAAAAAATTTAATTAGAAGATGAATGTCTGAATGATCTATTATCAAAATTGGATAATCGATTATAATAATTTTGGAGTTTACCCAACATAGTAATAAAGATCTCTATGACGTTTATCAATGAATAAGTATCAAAATTGGGCATGACTTGGATGGAAAATTGTAAAAACTAGTAATAGAAAACAAGATTGGTAGGTCGAAAATCTCTCTCATGTCTGGAAAACAATACACACTTAAAAACAGAAGAAGATTGAGAAGATTGTGTATGACATTCGATTTATAAGTTAGAAATGAAGGACAAAACTTGGAGGAAAAGATGTTGCTGATGAACATTATGTGGAAAGCATGGTAAATTAATTTTTGGAGATTCAAAAGCGAAAGCCTATCAAGGGAGTCTAAATTCTTGTATCAGGTATTGATATGTTAATGGTAAAGGAAAACTTATTAAGAACTTACTTGTTGCCAAGAATGCTGTGTAATTGGATGATGGTCTCCTCTTCTTCAAACGAGAACCTTCCTCTTTTGATGTCGGGCCTCAGGTAGTTGGTCCAACGAAGCCTGCAACTCTTCCCACACCTCGACAGCCCTGAATATAAGACAACCCAGTTTATTGAATTTAGTGAATAAACTTAAATATCCACCATTTTGAAAAAGAGAAGGAAAAAAGAAACAAGGAAAATTTGATTTCAGCAAACAACTCTGAAAAATAGTCGATCAATTCTGATATGTTTCCACTTAGGCATGAATAACCAGGAGAAAGCATCGTACCGGCACTCTTTGGAAGAGTTCTCCAGCTCCCATGGCCGTGTTTTTTAATGTAATCAATCAATTTCTGGTCCTCTTCAGGAGTCCATGGGCCCTTTTTCAAGCCATTCTTGTCACAGCAAGGTGCTCTCCCCATTTTTCACGGTACGAATTCCTTAACCAGCCCAAGGAAAACCAGATCAAGAACCGGTTTTTTAAGGAGCTTTTGAAAATCTGGATTTTCTTCGTATTTTGAGTGTTCAAGAAGTGGAAGAAGAAAACGGAAAACAGTGAGTGCAGTGACGATGATTTGAGAGGGAAGAGTGTGCTTATTTATAAGGAGAGAGACAAAGAGGGTTTGCTCCTCACATAAAGAGAGGAGGAAGTCAAACAGATTCGGCGCCGGCCATTTGTTTATCTCAAATGCCTGCCTCTTTGCAACGTGTCGCCCTTTGTCAGACTTTGATTTTCGCTTAAAAATTTTAAATACAAAAGAGACCTCTATTTCTCTCTCTCCTAAACATATACGAGAGAAGAGGCGCATACACTCTCTCTTTGGGGTTGCATTGGACAAGGGACCCGACGGGTTACCCGATATGGGTCCAACATTTAGACCGCGGGTTGCGTCTTCTACAAATTTGGATCCAAAATACTATTCAAGTATGGGTCTCGGTGGTTTGCGTCCGGTTGAACTTGAACCGTAATTGTAAATTATTATAGATAAAATGTTTCAAACCTTATTCGTTTGGGTGTATTAAAGATCATATACAATAAAAACTCATAGTCATTTTTAGCTATTAAACGATAAATCAAAACGTTTTAAATATAATGGCAGGTGATTGTGATTTTGTTGTTAATAATATAGATATATGAAAGTAAAAATAGAAGAAAAAAAAAAAACAAAAGCTCATTGTGATGGTGGTAATGGACCCGACTAGACTCGGATCCGACAGGTATAAATATGGGTACAACTTTTAAACTCAGGTCGGATTCGGGTCCAAATTTTGGACCTGAACACATACGGGTCTAGTTCCGGGTCCACTGGCGACCCGACCCCTGGCGACCACCTCCTGTCTCTCCTTTCCCTCGTGGAGAAGAGGTTTTTTTGTTGAGTACATAGGGTGTTGTCAAAAGAAGGGTGGTGACACGTAAACCCACCCCGTGACGTTGTAGAGACCGCCATACATGGCTGTGATTCGCCCTGCCCTGCTACGTGCATGGCTCGGCTCCTCAACTCCGCGTGGCTTCGCTCGAGTCGGCACCTTTGTTTGTTTGTGTGTTTTAGACTTTTGAATGAGTGAAAATGAATTATGTTTGGAAAAGGGTGGATAAGCCCTCTTCGCTCGCTTTCACACAGTGAGAAAGAGAGAGTGAAAACGTGGAGGAAATTAGTGATGAGCACAACTCGCCTCGAGTCAAAAAAGGAGGACAAGAAGGAAAAATCATGGGCATAAACCATAGTCAAAGAAAATCAAGAAACAAAAATCGAAGTTGAAGTCGATCTCAATGGAAAATAATTACAGAAACTAACTGAAAATAATTATAGAAACGAAATGTAATGTGCTTATTAAATGTTCAATATAATAATAATAATAATAATAAAGTTTATATACAGCCAAGACTCTAAAGAAATCAAATTAGAGACCCCCTCAAAAATCTCATTAGAAGAGGTTGTTTTGATGCCCCAATATCCTCAAATTGATCATATCGACATCAAGATGCATGAACAGGAGAAAAAAATGGATTTCAAGTTTTGGAAATAGTGCATCTTGTAAGGTATTTTTCGATGATCGATTTTTAAGATTTTCAAGTTTTCATGTATCTGCTCGATCTACACTATTTTTTAAGCTTTAAATTTTATAATCAAAGATGAAAATATAATTTAAGGCTATCACAAAGATTTTCAATATTGAAACTACATTTCTCGACATTATTTGAATGTGCGGTTTACTTTGATTGTTTAAAGCCTTGGCTCTATACAAATTGTACCCTAATAATAATAATAATAATAATAATAATAATAATGATGATGATGATGATGATAATAATTAAGAATAATAACTATGATGATAATAATAATAATTAAAATTAATGGTCTTGGTGGTGGTGGTGTTATTATTACAATTTTTTTATTGCAATTTTTCAGCTTTGATATTTAAGGGACTCTGATGGCTATTTTCCTTTTGAGAATAGAAAGAAAAAAATAAAATAAAGAAAGGGCAAAGATTATGCATTTTAGAATGAATTATCGATTCTTCAGTTGATTCATAGTTACATGATGCTCCTATGTCCACTACACAATTTGAATGGATTATAGGGGCTCTATCCGCTTTTCTTTAACATGTATGCTCAGAATCAGATATGTATAAATTACGCAAAACCACTTATGCAGATGTTATTATGCTTTTCGTCATTAAAAAGCTATGTGCCTAAACCCTTAACCTAATTGTATATTGCTTATTTTATTTGTTTCCTTACTCATTATCATGGGTATCTCACTAAGAAGTACATTGAAACTGTATCCATATGATGTAAAAGCATTGTCCTCCCTTCAATTAATCAGGACATAAATGGTGATTTTAGAAAATGCAGTTGGAGGCTAACCTAGTGAGAGACAAAATGTTGCTTGCATTCTTACCCAAGAAAGAAATTTTGGTCACCTAATTTGTTGGCAACTAATTTTTTTCAATATGGTAAAGCATACCGTACAAAATTGATGTATGGAAAGCATACCATGCACCACTATGAATAACAAATCATGCGGCCAATAGAATGTATGTCATTACAATCTATGGTCAATCGCTATCGTCCATAATCAGAAACGGACAATGGATGATATACGTAGTTTTTGAAGGAGTAGAATGTCCATTTACTCCCTCAGGTAAAATCCTATATAGGATGGAAGACGTTTCCATAAAGCTTAGGCTTTATGAAAACAAAATAAAGTCTCACCTCAAATCCTTATCCGGAAAGTACTTTGGGCAACGAAAGTCTCGATGATGGCTCTAAAATCAATGTCCTCATATCCTCATCCAAAAAAATACTTTCAGCAACGAAAGTCTCGATGATGGCTCTAAAATTAATTTCAAATACAAAGAATCAAACTTGAAACTAAAAAAATGGTAAATTTTGTGGATCTGTGAAATTTTTTTTTAGTATGAAATGGACAGTCTAGATAATTTGTTATAGTATACACTAGGTTTTAGAGCTTGAAATCCTAATTTTTTCTCACAACCCTAATGTTCAAGCTAAGACGACCGATGTGTAAGTTTTTTCAATGTTTGAATTACAAATTTTGATGAGTTATGAGGTGAGTTTTTATTTATTTTGATAGAGTTGCAGCCCCTATCAAATTATTTTCCTTAATTTTTAGGATTTCAAATTTTGGAGATACAACCTCTTCAATTCATAGATTAACCTCAATAATAAAAAATTCTTAATTGTATCCTCTATGTACTTGAAAAAAATATCTCGGGATTGAATAGAGAGCATCTAATTTTTAGATGGTGAGATCAAAGTGTTAAAAAACTAAAATTTTAAACATTTTTTATAAGAATAATCATCTAGTAATTTTTAAGCGGTTCCCAAAATTTCAAATTGAAAAAATTCTTTCAAATAGGTCATCTTATTGAGGGAGCACAAGTAGGCTATGCTCCCACAGGAGTATAGAAGTACACTACGCTCCCAAAGGAGCATAGTAACATGCTCTTTTATAAAAGAAGAAGTTTATATAGGGGGGAGGGGCCTAACAATCCAATTAAGGCGCACCTCAAAAATTCATTCAAAGTGGTTGTTTCAATTTCCAAAAATCCTCAAACTGATCATCTCAACCTCAAGATGAATGAACATGAAAACAAAATTGGATTTCAAGTCTTAAAAATAGTGCATTTTGTATTTCAAGATGGATTTCAAGACTTTCAATTTTCAAGATTTTCAAGTGTTCATAGATTTGCTCAATCTACACTATTTTTTAATCTTTAAATTTTATAAATAGATATGAAAATAAAATTTTACTATCACAAGGATTTTTCAATATTGAAACATCTTTCAGCACTATTTAAAGGCGTGCCTTACTTTGATGGTTTAGAACCTCATCTTTATACAAACTACACCCTTATATAGAAAGACCCGGTTTCTATGGCGAAGTCCGCATATGTAGAAATATGAGCCTCTTAAGGATTTTATTTTTGAGATGGATTTTAAGATTTAATTTTTAAGGACATGTAATCTCTATCACGGAGATTATGAATATGGAAAAACAAATAAATTTAAAAAACTAAAAGTAATCATTCTAGTAAAAAAACATTTGGACTGTTAGTTTCCATTGTTTTTAAATAGAACACCTACTTGCATCCATCTATCTTTAAGATGGATGCTTTACACTTTCTAGACCGCATATGTAGAAATGCGGTCTAGCCCGCGTGAAATAATTTCGCTCTCCCTATTCCCTTTTAGAGTTTTTGAGAATGTCATTTCTCGCTATTCTGACGTCTCTAATCGTCATCCCGTCCCCATCCAACGGACCGGCTCGAAACATGAGCCGACCACAATTTCCCCCCTCTTTTCTTTTTTACCACCCAGCAAAATATTCAAATATTTCATTAAAATTGCATGACGCCCCCCCATGCACGATTATCTATCTTATTACTATTTATAAATAATAACGACATTGTGACGTGGAATCTTCCTTACACGTACCAGCCTTTCACTGGGAGGGGGCCCACCACCCTCGTCTATTCAGCTTTGGCCCTGTCACCACATGACGTGTGCCATGCTGTCTACTTTCCAACAAGAAGGCCTCTACCTGTGTTTACGTGCATGACTAAGGTTCCAAGAAATTACTATTTTTTAGATTTTTCCTTACTTGAGAGAGAGGAAATTAAACATAGTATTCAAATAGGTGTTTTTATTTCTATTTGGAAATAAAGTGAAAAATATTCAAATAGTGCAACCAACTATGGACTGTCTACTACCCAAATCTGCTCAACCATTATTTAATAGTTCATGTAAGATTTGCTCTATATGCTTTTTTTTAACGAATTGGTTAACCATGATCTTGGCTTGCTCCTAATATTTTACCTATGTTCAATCATAATCTTTATTAAATGCAATTGGGGTATTTTGAAAAGGATGAGGTTTATATAAGGTCTAGACTTTATGAAAATAAAATAAACCTTCATCTCAAATTCTCGTTTGGAAAGCACTTTTGACAAACAGAAATGTCCATGATGGCTCTCCAATCAATTTCCAACACTGTTAATGAAATTCGAAACTCAAAAAATGATACACTGATCTTGTGGTTCTATGAATACTTATTTTTAGGGCGAA